GAGCAAACAGAGACGCGGCGTCGGCCTCGTCAAACATACATTTGCCGTGCCTCGCGATTAAAGGATAGTAAGGTCCCAATTTTTCCATTTTTTCATCGACGTCGCCGCTATCGCCCACGCCAGCGAGGAGTAGTCGTCGTAACTCGTTCAGGTGCGGTTTCAATCGCTCAAATTTTTCGTAGAGCACCTTCCAGTCGACGTCGATTAAGGCCTTCCTAATGTCCTCCTCGTCGTTCTCCAGCCAGCGCTTTCTCAAGACGGCGTCCTTGCGAACGGCACCGAGGTCCCTAGCAAATTCTCTCAGGAGATCCTCTAGGCTCCGAAACTTTGCGTAATGTGCATATAGTGACGTTACGAAGGCGCTACCGTCCTGCAAATACTCGTCAGATTTAATCTTGTTAAACAAGTCCCTCGTCTCTTCCTCTTCGCAGACTTTGTGCGCGGCCGGATGGGTCACCGCCCAGACGAGCGCGTCCCTATGTTTGTGCTCCGTGTAGTTCTTCAAAATCTTTTCGAACGCGTCTAGTATGGCCTGCAACTCGGTCGGCGACAGCGTAGGTGCGGAGAGAAAGACGAACCGCTTGACGTTGTCAATCTTTGCGATTTCGCCAACGGCTTTCAAGAGTTCCGGAGAAAACTTTTCGTCGATAAAGGTCTGGGCATATTCAACCTTGGCTTTCAACTCGGCGTAAATGCGAAGAGTCTGACCTTCCTCGGCGGCGACCCAGCGAACGAGCGCCGCGTCCCACTGCGGCGTGCCCGCGGCATCGAAAACGGCCCGGAGCAGTGGATCGAACGCTGGATGCTGGCTAGACCACGAAGAGTGCCGCGTGACTTTCTTGCACCACTCTTCGAAGAGTCGCTGAAACTTTAGAACGGAATCCTGCCAGATCTGGGACTGGTATCGCTCGAGCACAGAGTTGTACTTTTTAAACGTATTGGTTTTAACGTCGTAGTACATTCCGCCGCTAATGCCGTACAAGTACTTGTCCACGGCATCTAGGTCGTACACGTCCAAGTCGTACAAATTACTAAGCATGTCGTCGCCAGCAAATTCCACGCCCAACGCCTCGGGGTACTGCTTTATCACGTCCCTGGTCCTGACTGTGTACATGAATTCGCCCAGGACGTTGTTTGGGTCCTTATACATTCTGTAGATCAAGTGTTTGAGGGCCGGGATGACTACGTTGCGCAGAAACCCGGGCTTGTATTTCTCGCTGGCCAGCGAATTGACCTTGGACTGAATGCTCTTGAGATAGAGTGTGTAGGAAAAGACCAAGTCTATGGCTCGCTTCGGATCGTACAACGCCGTTCGAGTGTCGTTAGCGTGGTTCGCCACAATGTAATCAAACACGCGATTGGCCGTGTCGCCGTAGTCTTTGTAACGGGTAGTTTCGACACTAGCGTTAGAGTACAGCGCGTAGTAAAAATCTTTAAAGTAGTCGTCGACTCTACTTTCCAACCTTGCCTCAAACCCTATGGGAATGGCTTTCAAAGGTTTGAACAAGAGATTGTCGGTGGTCATTTTTTTATTTCAGCTACAGAAACACGTTTTCGCCTTTAGGGCGTTTATTTCTATAATAGGTCATTGCCGCGTAAGTCACGACTCCCGCTGTGGCCAGGACGGCAACTCCACCGACGACGTACAGCCAACCGCTTCCTTCGTCTTCCGCTGCAACAGTATGATACGGCGTCTTGGCGACGTCCGACACTTTTTCGTTGCGCGTCGTTTCTTTAGGAAGAGCCGAATCTCGAAGAGACGGTATCGCGTCGTCCGACCGTCGTCTCTTGGCCGCCTCCGCCGCAGTCTGAGGGGACGTTTGGGCGACGCCCGACTCCTTCTCTTTGGGCGTCGTTTCCCTAGGAGGAGCCGAATCCCGATGAGACGGTATCGCGTCGTCCGACCGCCGTCTATTGGCCGCCTCCGCCGCAGTCTGAGCTGATGTTTGGGCGACGCTCGACTCCTTCTCCATGGGCGTCCTTTCCTTAGGAGGAGGGGGAGGAGGAGGAGGAGTCGACGGCGACTCGTTCGTGCTATCCCGAAGAGACGGTCTAGCGTCGTCCGAAAGTCGTCTCTTGGTACCGACACCCCTCAGCTTCGAGTTGTAGCTGGAAATTAAAGACTCGACGCCGACATAGTCCAGACCGTTGTCGTAAAAGGTCTCGATCAGGCTGTCTACGTCGTGAAGGTCGGCGTCGTACAGCTTTTTTTCCTCGGTCTTCATGACCACCTCGACGCCGGCATCTTTCAGTCTGTCTCGCGTGTACACCGTGGCCAGGAACTTGCCGAGTAGATTGTTCTGATCTCTGTACATTCTGACGATGACGTGTTTTAAGGATGGCACGGCCACCTTCTCGTGTTCGGCCTTGAGCTCGGCGGACCTCTTAAAGTGAAAAAGAAACGCGGTGTATTCGTTAATCACGTCGTTCATTCGGGTCACGTCGTTAAATAGACCAAGTATAACGTTGCGATACTTGGCCACGATGTAATCGTACGCGGCTTTCATTATCTCTCTGTCGGTCCTGTACCCCGTGTGCGCCCCGGCTCTATCGTACAAGTCTTTAATGTGCACTCGCAAATAGTCGTCCATCGACTTTTCGAGTCGTTCTTCAAACTGAGAAGGAGGCTTCTTGAGTATAACGTTATTCTTATTAGACATTGTTAGGTGTTTTGTATTAGTCCTGGACGTCAGCCGTAATCTTTGATGTTGTATTCGGAAAGAGCTCGGGTCACGTCATCTACAAAAAGCGTCTTGCGGTGTTGCATCTGGGCGTAGACGACGGCCTTTCCGACGACCTCGGTGACGAATCTATCGACCTCGAATTGCATGTTACCGTACACGTTCTCTGATATGCGATCGATCTCCATCTCCTTGGCCAATCGACGCAATTCGTTCTTACAGAGAACGTCGTCCACGGCAGTCGTTGGCTGTCGACTGTCCAATTGCTGCTTCTTCTTATTCTTGGCTACCGTCCTCTTTTGCCGGGTCACGTTGTTTGAGGCGTTTTTTATGCGCGCCATATTCTCACCATCCATCTCCTCTAACGATATAAGCGGGAAACTTCAGTTTTTTATTTGAAATCGACGTTACAATCATGTTACGCGTATACTACGACAACCTGGCAAACACCATCGCGACCGGACTTCGAAATCCCGGCGACTCCAGCGTCTTTGTCGACTTTCTCTACGCCTTGGAGACTATGCACGCGGCGACGATCCTTCTCGTCGGCCGCCCCTTCATGACGGTAGGCGCAGCGCTGCATCTATTCCATAGCCGCACGAAAAACAGATACAGACTCAACGTGTACGTCTACATGAGACTGGTTCGGACGGAAGTCTGGTACCTCAAGACGGCCTGTCGATACATCGACTTTCGCCTCTACCGTGACGACGCAAGCGCCCTCGGTTCTGTGATCTGCGACTACACGTTCGAAAGCGGTCGAGTGTACGCGAACGCGACCGCCTTTCGCTACGAAGAGGCCAGCAAGATTCTGTGTCTGACTCTGACCGACTCTCTCACCTTCTTTGTGGCCTGCGTTCGCAAGTTGAGTTACCTGCTTGACATGACTCCCGATCGAGTCGTTTGCAGCGTCGTCGAGCCACGCACCGTGAAAAACGCCAGAGTGCATCGAGATTTTATGAGCCTGTACGAGAGCGTAGATCCGAGGCACTTTAGAGTTTGCGATTACCTTGACTGGTTGTGTAGGTATCCTTTGTTTGGGCAATAAAAATTAAAAAAAACCGTGCACGTTGAGTTTTCGTCTCAATCTCCTCGCGTAAGCATGAGTAACGACGTAGATATGACCAAGGTCGAAGAAGAAGAAGAAGAAGAAGAATGGATAGTGTTAGACGAATGGAACGATGGCGATGATGAAAAAGAGGAGGGAGAGATTACGGACGACGAGGTCAACCACTCCGCTCAGACTATTTATAGTTCCGAAGACGAGACGAACGATCGGTATAATCGTTTCAAAAACGAACGTTGGCGGGTATGGAAGAGGCGCCCCGCTACCGGCTCGTACTACCGGGCGACCGGATACCTTACCCCGTACAAGTGGACGTCTTTGAAACAATGTTGCGCGGATTCGGAGAAAAAGCCAACGTCATGATAGAAGCTCCTACCGGATCGGGCAAGACAATGGCCATGCTCGGAGCCGTTCGCGAATGGATAACGACACGACCCAGCGGCAAAATCTACCTCTGCTCTAGAACGCACCAACAGCTCGACCAAATGGTAGCGGTGGCCAAGGCGTTCATCGGAGACGCCGCGCACATTTCTCGTCTCGTCGGCAAGGACCGAGTCTGCCTCTTGGAACGGGAAGTCCACAGCGGTAACGTGCCCCAACTCTGCAGTCAACACAGGGCCTCGTCGACGTGCCGATTCTACCGCAATTGGAAAGAGCAGCATGGACCAGAGACGCGTTTGCCCGACGTTAGGGACATCGAGGACTTGGTGGAGAGTTGTGCTGCAAACGATATCTGCCCCTACTACGTCAACGAACAGTACTACGTAGCCAGGTCGAAAATAGTGCTGGCTCCCTACAACTACTTGATCGATCCCTTCGTCCGTAGCACGCTCAACATCAATCTCAGCGGCGCGATTCTGATCCTCGACGAGGCGCACAACATTGAAACGTTTTGTAGAGACGCCATGTCCCTACAAGTGTCCAGATCGCAGCTTCAGACGTACGCACGACGATTTTCTCGCTACGTCGAGCTTCGCGAATTCTTCGAGGGGCTCCTGGCCATGATGAACGACGTTGGATATGCGATTGTTCGCGGCGATGATCTCCTGGCCAAGACGAGACGCTACCTCAAGACGGACAACGTGAGCCTGGGTCAAGTCGTGAGTCCCTTAACGTCTCGACATCCTTTGTCCGACCGGTTAAACACCACGTTGATTGACCGCATCGTCACTCAGTTTTACTACCCCGAGATATTTGGTGCCCAAGGCTTTGCAATGTTTGTCGTCCAGGGTCGCGAGTCGCCAGAACTCAGGATGACCTGCATGGACTCGAGTTACGCCATGAAGTCTGTGTCGTCGTGCACGCACTCTATCGTCCTGGCCTCGGGGACTCTGAGTCCGATGTCGTCGTACGAAAAGGAATTGGGCGTCTTCTTTACTCACAAGGTGTCCGCCAAGGAACACGTCCTGTCCAAGCGTCACGTCTTTGTCCGTAGGATCTCGCATTCGCTCAAGGGTGACAAAGAGTTTTACATGAATTACAGCGCATGCCAGAACGAAGAGCTACTCAAGGCCGTAGGTTCCGTCGTCTACGAGTCGACCAAGATCCTGAAGAAAAATGTCGGCGAAACAAAGGCTGGCGTCCTGTGCTTCTTCCCTTCTTACAAGCTACTTCAGACCTGTCCAGACGTGTGGCGCAAAGTGCCTCTATGGCCCAAGTTGGTCAAGGTGGTCGGCGGGCATCTGTTTCTGGAAGATTCTGAAAACTCGGACCTCTTGTTCCATAGGTACAAGACTGCGTTGATTGACGGAGAGCCCGGCACGGTGGCCCTGTTTCTAGTCGTGCACAGAGGCAAAATGAGTGAAGGCGTCGACTTCTCCGATTCGCTGGCTCGACTCGTCGTATCCGTGGGGTTACCCTATCCGTCGTATCACAGTCCGGACGTAAAGGTCAAGGTCGAGTTTAACCGCAGCAGGGGCGGAGACGGGGACGAATGGTATAAAACGCAGGCGATGCGAGCGGTTAACCAGTCCGTGGGACGCTGCGTACGTCACGTGAACGACTGGGGGGCCGTCCTATTGCTCGACAGTAGGTATTTTAGACCCGACGTTTGGAGCGACTTATCGCATTGGGTCCAGGTCTGCGAAGACGAGTCGTCCACCTTCAAAGACACGAAGAAATCTTTGCTCGAGATAAACTCGTTTTTGAACGGTCGTCTATGAAAATGCACATCCTCAGTTTGCACACGTATCTGCGCGAACACAGATACACGGCTAGCCGACAGGGCTACGCTTACTGGTATTGCACGATTCGCGACGCTACTATTGCTCCTACACCAGCTGCTTCGGTCAACAGCGATCCCGTTTCGACCGACCAGGCTCCAACACGAGTCGGTACTGTTCCATCGGACAAGCGGGGACCGTCCGACAAGCCTATACTCGAATCGTGCACGTGCGAGACTGCTCCTACACCAGCTGCTTCGGTCAACAGCGATCCCGTTTCGGCCGACCAGGCTCCAGTACGAGTCGCTACTCTTCCACTGGACAAGCGGGGACTGTCTGACAAGACTATACTCGAATGGTGCGTGATTGAATACGCCAATACTCTACCGTCGGTAGAAGAATTTCAAACGAGATACAACCTGTGGACTAGTGGAAGGGACAAGTTCGACGCAGGAGTGTTGAAAAACTTTATGACTGCGCCGATACCTCCCTCTTCGGACGAATATGACACCTACGTTAGAGAAGTGGAGATTGCCATGGAGAAGCTGGGCATATATTTTACTCCGACAATCGTCTCAAACCTCATGGAATTGTACGAAAGATTGCACGGACTGTCGGACGCAGACACGCGCGAGCTGGTGTTGCACTTTTGGAGAAAGCCCAAGGCCACCGAGTGGATTCTCGTCGAGATTCTTCTCTATTGCATAAAGGTGGGCGTCGGTGTCTACGACATCGTTGACGGGCATCTCGACTGGATTCGAGGCGAGATCCGGAACGACATGCTGCGCAACATTCGAGACCAGTTGAGTGCGTCTTTCGACCCGGACAACGTGCAGCGAGACAAGTTGGAGAAGGACATTCTCGCGTACCGAAGAGACCTGCGAAGACTCTCTCGACAAGTGTGCGTCAACACGGACCACGAGTTTACGCACGAGTTTATTGCACCACTCTCTGGACATTGCGAAAACTACGTGCCGTGCAAGAAAGGCCGATGGTATCTATGGTCTTAATAAAATACGTACGAATGATTGTCGAAGGTGTTTCTTTGGAAGCTCTGTACTCGCGTTTGAGCGAAATTGATTGATTGATTGATTGAGGGGTTTTTTGGCGCATCAGCAACTAAGGCTATATTGCGCCAAGCTTATACTATTGCAATTCGGGTTTAAGAAGAGGAAAGAGCTATTGTAGCGAAATGTATGATAAAACCATGAACATGAATGTGTATAAGTGTAAACAATATGACAATGAGTTTAGGATAGAAAGTAAAATCACAGTCGGTGTAGAAGGCCGATATCTGTGAGGAAATTAAAAACACAACTATATGGAATGAGCGGTTCGTCACCTAGTAGTAAGGCAAGGTGTAGTGGAATGTGTTCTTTATAAAGCAGTGAGTAGTGTTTATACCGGCATTGGTCATACATAGGGCATTCAATGAGTATGTGCATAATACTTAGAGGTAGGTTGCAGTGCACACATTCAGGGGCCTCCTCCCCGCTCAAGAGGTGTCCATGTGTAAGACGAGTATGACCGATTCGTAGCCTACACAGTACGACTTCGTAAAAGCGCTCCCGATGTCGGGCGCTCTCCCACTCGCCTAGAAGAGGTTTGATTGCATGTAGTTTGTTGCCGGTTTCGCCGTTCCACTGCAGCTGCCACTTTGCTTTGATGCAACGTTTCAGATAATTGTGGTAATCTTTGTAGGGTATTTGGTGTGTGTCAATTTCTCTATCATTAGCAGAACTGGCTGCACTATCAGCTGCTTCATTTCCAGGAATGCCAACATGGCTAGGAACCCAGCATAAGACTATGTCAAAATTTTTCGTTGCAGCCAGGATTATCTTGTACTTTAACTCAGAAACCAGTGGGTTTTTTACACGGTTCATTGATGCGACAGCCTTCAGAGAGCTTAAAGAGTCGGTGTAGATTACAGCGTGAGAAAGGCGTTTTTTGATTATGTAATCAACAGCTAACAACAAACCATAAAGCTCTGCTGTTAGTATAGAGGCTTTTGAATTTATTCTCTTCACCTGATTTACCGATGGTCCCAACATAGGACAGCCTACTACGGAGTCTTTTTTTGTCCCGTCTGTATAAAAACTGGCATACTTGTGATATTTGGTCTGAAGCTCAAAGAAGTTCTGCCTTATGACTTCCTGTGGAACATTCTTTTTGTTATACTTGGTCAGTGTAAGGTCGCAATGTATCTGGCAGTTGTTCCATGGAGCTATTTCCGGAGGGTATTGGACCAACTGAGGCTTTGCATCCATCCCAACGGATTGTGCTGCAGTATTATTCCTCATAAAAAAAGGGGGGACTGTGGAAGGTTTGTTTTCAAATGTGCGTTGGAACTTGATCGTCTCAATATTCTCTCGAACGGAGTGCTCCGCGACCGAGCGAACCCTGGCAGAGTACATAAAACCCAGGGAAAACCTCTTATACTCAAGGGACAATTCGTTTGCTTCCGCGTAAAGGCTAAGCACTGGGGAGGTATGAAATGCACCAATAGCCAGTCGCAGTCCTTGATGATGAATAGGATCTAACATCTTTAGAACTGATGCCCGAGCAGAGTTATAGACAATACAACCATAATCAAGCTGGGAGCGAATGACTGAGTGATAGATACGCAGCAGACACAGTCGGTCCGAGCCCCATGATGCATGTGACAAGACCTTAAGGATGTTTAGAGATTTAAGGCACTTGAGTTTTAATCTCTTAATGTGTGGAACGAAAGTCAACTTGGAATCGAACACAAGGCCCAAAAACTTCTGCTCATTTTTTACAACAATAGGAGAACCATACATGTTCAAAGACGGTTCCTGAAGAGCACCACGTCGACGAGAAAAGTTGACACAAGCTGTTTTTTCGGGAGAAAATTTAAACCCATTCGTATCGGCCCATCTGACCAAATTATTGACCGCAAGTTGAACGCGACGTTCACAAATTGAGAGATTACAGGATGAAACGGAGATCTGGAGATCATCAACATATAAGGAATATTGCACCGAAGGAGGAATTACACGGCCAATGGAATTAAGTTTGACGATAAAAAGAGTGACACTCAGTACACCCCCCTGAGGGACTCCATTCTCCTGTAAAAACTCCCTCGAGAGAGTTTTTCCCAGCCTCACGCGGAACGTACGGTGCTGCAGGTAACTCTGTATGGCACTCAACATTCGGCCACGGAAACCAAGATCGAATAAATATTGCAGAATGCCGTAACGCCAGGCTGTGTCGTATGCTTTTTCCAAATCAAAGAAGATGGAGAGACACTGTTGTCTGTTGACAAACGCCTCACGTACGAAGGTCTCAAAGCGGACGAGATGATCGACAGTGGACCGTGCTGACCGAAAGCCACACTGGAACTTATCAAGGCAGCTGTTTCGTTCTAGAAAAAACATGAGTCTCTTATTAATCATCCTTTCTAATGTCTTGGAAAGACAGCTAGTTAGAGCTATTGGTCTGTAGCTAGATGCACAAGAGGGATCTTTGCCGGGCTTAAGCACTGGTACAACCACAGCGGTCTTCCAGGAGGACGGAAAGTGGCCCTCGAGCCAAACTCTATTAAAAAGGTACAAAATTAGCTCCATAGTGGATGGATGAAGATGTTCGAGCATTTGATAATGAATACCATCTGGTCCAGGGGCAGTTTGTTTGGAACCAAGAAGTGCCATTTGAAGTTCGTATAATGTAAATAGAGTGTTGTAGGGTTCGTGCGTGCCACCTGATGTGATAACAGCTTTTTTTTCTGCATTGATCTTGTATCGCTGGAACGTTAAGGTGTAATGTTCCGAACTGGAGACATACTCGAAGTGTTCACCGAGGATGTTGGCCTGTTCCTCAAGGCTTGCAGAACAAACTCCATTCCGACTCAAGAGTGGGACAGTGAATGCCCGGTAAGAGCCGTCAATTTTATGTACGCGATCCCAGACTTCCTTTGCAGATACAGTGCTGTTAATTGAAGAAGCGTACCCTCTAAAACTTTTTTTCTTAGCATGCCTTCTAATCCACCTCGCCTGGGACCTTTTTCTCTTAAATTCAATAAGATTGTGTGTTGTAGGGTAGCGCCTAAATATACCCCACGCTCGATTTTGTTCTTTTTTGGCCAAACGGCAATCTTTGTTCCACCAGGGCTTTGGTCTCCTGGGCAGATGCGAGGACGTCATGGGGATGGAGAGAATGGCAGCTTGTAAAATGTGCTGAGTGATATGTTGAGTGGCTTTATTGATATCAAGATCGTCAAGTGATGTGCACGCAAAAAGAGATGATTCTTTAAAGGTAGGCCAGTTGGCATTTTCGAATTTCCAACGAGGACAGCGTGTTGGGACTGTCATGGGAAGATGGTTAAATTCTAAGATGATGAGAAAGTGGTCACTTCCATAAGGATTCGGTATGACCTTCCATGAAAGCAATGGGAATAATGATGGGTGACAAATAGATAGGTCAATGGAAGTGAAAGTGTGAGTTGCTGAGCTAAAATATGTAGATTCATTTGTGTTCAGCAGGCACAATCCCGCAGAAAGCAAAAAACGTTCAACAAGGGCCCCTCTAGAATCCCGTCTGTCACTACCCCACAGGGGATTGTGTGCATTAAAATCTCCTAAAAGTAAAAAAGGTGAAGGAAGTTGATTAACAAGGTCTTCTAGCTCCTCCATATGTAACTGATAATTGGGAGGTACATACAATGAACAGACTGTAAATATTCGATCTAACAAAATACGTGTAGCCACCGCCTCAAGTGAAGTCTGCAGGGCTACCTCGTTAGAAGGAATTGAACGTTGGACAACCACCGCAACACCTCCAGCTGCGTGAGCTGCATGTGTACGGTCCCTACGAAACACCTGGAAGTGTTTTAAAACATTGGTGTGGGTGGTTTTTAGGTGCGTTTCCTGTAAGCAACATGCAATGGGCCGGTGATCCTCTAAAAGATCGCTCACATCATCGTAGTTAGACAGGAGGCCTCTACAGTTCCACTGAAGGAAGAAAGACATTTATCTTCAATA